AGAAGAAGAAGAGAAACACTACCATAATATGAGGGGAAAGGGCAAGTAACGTGACCTTGACCTCAACTCTCACTCCTCCCACCACCCAGGAAGTAGCATCTCTCCCTGCTTCTGGGCATCAGGATTATTCTGGATCATGGCAAAGGGAAATCTAACACTTCCAAGTGAGAAGGAAGAAGCTAACAAGTGTAAAGCAGACAGAGAACAGTGGTTACCAAGAGCACATCAACCAGCCTGTTTGTTCTTCATGTGAAAGAAAAACAACAGGCATTCTTTGCATATCAAAACAGGTTTTTCAGATAACACCTTATTTCCTAACAGGTACATTCTGAGTTTATGTAAATCTAAAAAAAAAAAAAAAGCTCATCCTAGTTACCATGCTCCTCACTGGCTTACTGAGATAGACACTAAACTACCCATTTTCTATCTCTATTTTTTAAGATTTATTTATTTATATACTTAGCAGCTGTCATGGTGAATTGAAGTTATGATGCAATCTTTTTTTTTTTTTTTTTTTTTGGTTCAGAATCAAGTCGTTTTGATTTTTTTTTTCTTCTTCTGCTTCCCTAAAACAACGCTATCTTCAAGCTGGGCATTTACACCCTGGTAACTAAAAATAAAAAATCGCGTAGGGCAGTGACACATTATAATATGAAAGTTTCCCAGTCTTCAGGCTGAAATCCAATTTGGGCTTCTAGCAAAATAACTTTGAGACGCTCACTCTGTTTGGGAATAGACTCTCTAACTGAAGCAACGATTGGAAAAAACAAAAGAAAGGAGAGGAAGAAAAAGCCAAGATCGAGGAATCCAGAAGAGCGTTCAGCCCCAAGGTTTGCGGAGACAGAGACCGAGGCTCGCGCCTCCCCCCGCCCACCACCACCACCTTTTCCCTTCCCCTCGGAGCGAGCATGGAGCAGCGCCTCTCGCCCTTACCTCCAAAGCCTGCCTCTCGCTACAGCTGGTGCACTGGAAGTTATGAGCACAAACAGATGCTGCAGCGAAATCTGTTTCTATTGCTCAACTGTTCCAAGCGTGTCTCAGTATTTTTAGCTCTGGAGGATGTTCTGGTGTGCGCACACAGACCGTATAGACAGGAGCTGGGACTGTGACGCGCGAGACAGCGCCAGAGCAGGGTGACAGCTGGACGCCTCTGGAGGAGCCGGGACCCGGCAGGGGACGGCGTCCCGCGTCCGCTCCCCCAGGACACGCAGGCACGGGAGAGGAGGAGGGAGAAAACGCACTCAGCAGTCCTTACCTGTTGCTGGCGCCGGAGCCTGGAGACATGGAGTGAAGTGGGAGGTACAGAGGCGTGTAAGATCCAGTGGTTTGCAAAAGTGAGTGAGCCGAAGCAAAACAGATTCCCAAGACCCAGCTTGCCGGCGCCGGGAAGGCTGCGCGCTGGCCAGGGCTCCAGTGCGCGCTGCAATATTCTGGGCTCTTTTGAGGCGGTCCGCGCGATACCGGCCCTTTCTGGCCCCGCCCCGCGCCGCTCTCGGCCAATCGCAGCCCGCGAGGAGGGGAGGATGCTACACCCGGGGCCGCGGGAGCTGCCAGCGAGGAGAACCTGCCGCCGCTTCCTCCTCCACCCTCGGAGCCCGCGGGAAGCCGGCCCGGGCGGCGGCGGCGGCGGCGGCGGCGGAGGCTGCAGCCGGGCGGGCGGGGAGGGCCGCAGGTGGGAAGCTCCTCCGTCAGGCCGCCGGAGCTGCCTGATTGCAGCCTCTCGCGGGGTGCAAGCTCCCTACCCCTCGCCCAGCCCGTGTCCCGGTTTCTTTCGTGGGGGACAGCGGTGCGGTGCCTGCCCCCCAGGGGCTCGCAAGGTGCCGGAGGCACTGCACGTCCGCCGGGGCGCGACTCCCTCTCCCCGGCCTCGCACCCGGGACCTCCAGAGGGAGCTGCCTCGGGCGGTGGGGCCCGACCCGTGGGGTTCAGGATCAAGCAGGAGGGGGGATCTGCACACTCGTGGCCAGGGCTTGGGGCTTCGCAAAGGACTTGGACTCTCTCTCTCCCTGTCTCTCTGTCTCTCTCTCTCTCTGTCTCTGTCTCTCTCTGTCTCTCT